TTAGAATATCATTAGCCCCCATCGTCGTGCATGTCTGCTTCAACAAACGACAATTCAGTGTTATTCTGCATTCACCACATATTCTAGGGGTCTTGCCATCCGACTTCAATGGCGTAACAATAGGAGTACCCCATGATTAGGACTGAATTGCTTCAATTATACCTTCTGCACACAAATCGTTCAGTGACTTATGTACTGCTTCTCGAAGACCATAAAGAATTATTCGTCTTTTAAGAAAGACTGGATTATCCTGTACTTGAAGTTTTATAGGCTGAATTTCCATAACTCCACTACACTTGGCACACACAGATATCAAATCTTTGAGTAAAGCATTCTCTGTAGAAACTAGTAGAGACAATTCCACTATTAGCGTTTTCAGATTTTTTGAACGCAGTATTGACAGTCCTGTTTCACTAACTAAAAGTTTGCAAGGTAAATATGAAAAATTATCATTTCTTATTAGCAATTCATAACATCCTCGTATAGGCAGTCTGTGACCAGTAATACTCAGTATTGAGACCTCAGTGTGTCTTACCACAATATTAGCATCTAAAGATTTGAAGTTCTTGAATGAAATAATGGACTCCATACTACCATTGTCCACAATAAAGTCATGAAATGAATCAAGGGTTGTATTTAATCGCATTTGAATCTGAACATTACCTTTCGCAGTAATGGATAAAGATAAATGATCATTAGGAACAGCCGAATTATCGGGATCTAAGTTACAAGACTGAATAATACTTGAAGCAAAGTGAACAGTAGTTTTGCATACTGACTGAATGTATCCTATCTTGCCACATTTAAAACATTTAGCATTACGAAATGCACATGAATTACGAGAATGAAGTTTGCCAAAAGATAAGCATATAATAAACTTTTTCTCACCTTTCTTGTTTGCTTTGCAGTCCCTTGATGAAACATCTTTCATATTTCCATGAGAATAGAAATCACGATTAAACGAATCCAAATTTAATCGACCCTGAGATTGCATTTCATCATGATGACTAAGCAAACTATTAGAAATTTTCATCGATTGAATATCAAGTTCATTCACTGCTTCGTAGTTAATACATGCAGTTCTAGCATCTTGAAAAGAACAGTTCGGCATTCTTAACAGATCCTTTTCCAGACCTGGTATGTTAATTCCTCCAATTAATCGATCTCTCAGCTGCACATGAAGTTGATCACCAAAATTGCATTTGGCAGCCTGTCTTTGCAACTCAAGGATGAAGTCCTTAACCATCTGGTTATTCTGACAAAGCATCTTATGAAATTTTGCTCTATCACGACATTCAAAACCGGTGCACTTCACATGATTTAATAGTAATTCGTTGAGAGTTGTATATGGAAGTGAGATCGGCTTATCGGGATATGCCAAAGTTTTTAGTAAACTGTAGGCTTCTTGACTGATGAATGTAAGAAAATGTGCCACAATTTTGTCACCCTTCATATCTTTCTTTGTCATGCTCCATATCTCAAACCTTTAAAGATAATCCTCAAAAGCTTCAGAAGTTGAATGAATGTCCAAATGTTGTATCGCAGGCTCCATCGCGACGCCAATATGGTAATCAGAAGTATTTGAATTGTGGTATAAACTAGTAATCCTAGTAATAACGCAATTTAATCAAGAAGTATTAGATGAGCACAAACGGATGTATTGTATTAGGAATTCAAAATCACAACAGTCATCAATACAAAGAAGTCATTGATTTATTTAAACATTACATATGCATATCGAGGAGACAAACAAAACTGGTCGATCAACCAGTTTATCAGGTCATCTTTAACTACAATTATCTTATACGAAAGCTGCAATTTTGTATAACAATGGCTTTTAGGTTAAACATTTTTTACTGCTGAACTACAACGAGCAGACTTTTAGCCTAGTTTTCATTATAATCGATATGAACATTTTAGATCCTCATTTTGGAGTTTCAGTTCATGGAAATCTCTGTCTCTTCTTGCACTATACTTCCTTCAGATTATGGTTCAAAACGATCATTATGTGGTATTCAGACTACATTGATACAAATTAGAATACCATTACAGATCATTCATGTGATGTTGAATTCTTAACAAAAATAAACACACACTGACAGTCACAGTGACTTCATACACTCAACAAGACATAATAGTATGTTCAACTTAGTTTCCTGTCGATGTATCATTCCACTATCTGCTGAACTACATAAATAATTTCAAAGTATCGACCATGGAAAGGATGTTGATCCTTACTCTATCAAACCTTTTAATAGCGTCTCCTTACAATAGAAGCATCGCAAACATGAACACTTCATAAGACAATCAGATTAAAACACCCTGTTTCAGATCAATAGTCTTGTGTGTTTCATAGGTATATAGTTTCGAATCACCAGTTTGCGTCCTGGATCGTTTACACCACTGAAAACATACAAAAATACGTTTTACGACATATTTATACCAATTAAATATCAAATTTACTGATGACACCTGAGTAAACGTTCATTTTAAATGAATAAATGCACAGTAACTGCAAGGTTTATTCATACTAGATAGTCTCCTACAGTGTAAGGCATTATTCATGAGTTGTTATTAGTAAATAGTACAAAATCAACTTCCTCTCCTCGATGACCGCTTTGGAGCCCATAAAAATAATCACATCGTGTGGATTATGAGTAATGTTTGTGGAACTATATCAAAGCTGGAAATTAGTAATCATGAGAATAGTTACGAAAATTCGAATAAAATTGAGTCCACATTCATGTATATGAGTAATCACTCCAGAAAATCTACTTCAATGACTTATCCACAAATTATTACGAACACAGCTTCCTTTAAGGTAGCTTCTTTAAGGTGCTCTAATCCGTCAGATAGCAATGATGACATTTTATTCTGGTAAATGTTGATTACTCATATTTATTTACGAGTTGGAGACTATCTGTATTCCTATCTGAGCAAACCTCAGTGAACAAGACTATTTCAAAACTCTAACGAAACGATGACTGAAATGGGTGTCTTTGGCACATAAAAATCTGTGAGATGGCAAATACCCATTTTTCTTTAAAATTCTTGGTAAACTGACAATGAGTCAAAAAACGATGATAACAGGAATAATGAAGGAAAACAAGGAGAGTGATGTTATACTGTTCTACAGAAATCTGATCGAAATACTGAGCATGCGAATATTAATACTTGTGATATGTGTAGTATGATGATTTCGGTTATCAAATATATTTAAATTATATTATGGAAAGACCAGATATAGAACAACAATTGTCCTGACTTGTATATTCAAGAAGTGAGAACGTAAATAAATCTAATACTGCCTATACTGCATTCACAATCTCTCCAACCACTACTGTTTATCACTACCTTTAACGTGCTCTACTCAGTTTCTATTTCTAATTGATCCCCTTCATATCTATGCCGAAGTGACTATTGTTCTATCGTTATAAGTATCAGATATCTGACCGGTTGTTCATCCAACATCACTAACTTTCTTAATTGACTTCCTTTTCTAGTTTGCCACTAAACTCAATGTTTGTTGTACGAGTAAGAGTATTGGTTTCGGTTGTTCGACATGAACGGAACTACTTTACACAAGTCTAATTAATAGAGAGGAACAAGACTGTGTGTTTAAATCAACCACGCTTTCTTGAATACAGATTATTGACAGCGTCTAATTATTGTGTTTGACCTTAATGATTACTACTTTTGTGAAGTAATAAGTTGTTGAAGAGAGTTTGAGATTTCAATCGACCACTTTATCAACCATGTAAAATACGAAGGACGAATAAATGGGCACTTTCTAACTATACGAAACTGCCTGATAAGTATCTCACTCAAAACAATTATATCATTCACAATTTCGATCATTAGTGTGCTTCCTTATAACAGAACAAATAGAACATCACAGCTGAAAGATTCATTAAATCTGAACACAAGAGTTTGACAAACGATACAACGTAAATGGACCAATGGAGTGAAACAATTCAGCGCAAATTATGTGCAACAGAAATTTTGATCGGATAATGCATTCCCTTCAAGCTGTATGCAGAATGTGTTTCAGTGGAAGAAAGTCCCAAAGAATATGACATGCTGAAATTTATGAACAAACTAGAGATATGAAATTGCAATTAGCGTTTGAACGTTGAATAATCACTAAATAATAGGCAAAGTCATATCTACAGTAGTGGCCCTCTATCCGACTCCAGTTAAATCGCATCCTTACTGTCGTCGAAATACACATGCCAACAGCCCTCCCGTATATCTATCAACATAACTCACTCTTTAGAGTAACAGATGAAAACAATCCAAGTACGAAGATGAATTTTGAATACGTATATTTCACACGCTCATTGATTCAAACTGACATTTATAGAAAGGAAGTGGAGAAAGCGAAACGAAACAAAGTGACACATATTAGAGAAGATGAATAGGTTGACTTGACTTCACTAAGCGTAACTCAATGTTCATAGTCATATAAAATATACGTTACAGACACATAAGATCGTGTAAATACAATCAAGGTTGATAATCGAAATAGTGGCTTGAGAAGGACAAGTCAGTTGGTCTGTCAGAAGCTTGAATAATCGGTGTGGTCTTGATATATTCCGTTTAGGATGTTTTGTGTTACGAGGTTGGTAATAGTCAGTGCGAATTTTGGATTACTGGTTTTCATTTCTCAATGTCAAATGTTATCTTCGTTAGTGTGCATGGAATATTCGTGAAATTCGATCTTATATCGTTTAGCGCCATATATACAAATAATAATGGTAACTTGTTTCGTCTGTGATTAACCTTCTATGATGTGCCATGTTCGTCAATTCATATAGATTGTTGGATAGATCGTTAGCGAAGAAGCAAGCTACAGATCGATAACGAATATGGTGAGTGACAAACAAACATACTCACACATACACTACCATTAAAAGAACCATTGCCGCGAGTGAACAGTTAACGAAGTCGATTGCGTTTGCACGTAAAGGTCCAAACAGATTAGGCTAACTAGTGTACAACTAAGAGTGCATCATATGATGTGTGCAAAAAGATAAACCGCTACAATACGATGCATTCGACAATGGAGTTTGATAAACCTCACATAATCGTTGTAGTAACGCATCATCGAATACACAGACTTGAATGTTATCATGATATGAACAAATTGACGTTAAACTACTGAGTGACGAAATTTGGTATTCCCATTCAACCTAATTTAGGTTAAACAATTGAACTCTATGAAAAATAAAGTTTCAGTTCAATTGACATACACAAATGAATATCGTACTAATCATAAAAATAAGACAGAAGTAAACCATTCGAACATCAACATCATGCGCTTTGATACTTTGTCAACGAAGATTCGCTTTAAATACTTTTCTTTTTCTCTCTCATGACGGATCTATGGAATATTCCGTTGAAATGTTTCTTCGTATAACACAACAATCAGATCGTATTCTTTTTCTACTTGTTAGGTGTTTATTTTGTTTAAGATTTCAATGATATGTGATGCTCATGATTGCTATGTCACTACCATTGTAAATCATATTTTGACTGGCATGATTATAATGTTGTTCGGGAACAATTCTTATATGTTGCTTTTGGACTTATTCAAGTATTCTCATTCATTCAGTGATTATTCCTTCGAAATACTTTAGCCTGCATTACCAGTTGTGAATCACTATTATTGAAAACTTTCCAATTATTTTGGAATGTTCAATCAAGGACACAGATAGGTATGGAACTGGTACCAATGAGAAAAGTTAATTCGACGTGCACTATACTCATTTCTATTTTTACTACTCATATATTTCTCTTATGTTAGTTTAATGTTGCTTTTTCTATGCATCGGACGAGAATTGGTGCTTTCAATGTGGTATGGTTGCCGGTATAACAAATTGTTATCGCTACTGAACATTTTTTAGTGAAATACCCAAATGGTACATTCTTCTAATTTTTTTTACTTTTTCTAGCATACATTATTGTATTTGACAATTGTAACCTTTAATAAGTACTAAATAATTTCATTATAGTTTGTGTAAAGTGTGATCGATAGATGAACTCACCAATTGGTACGTAAGACGCCCACCATCAAATCAACTCCGTTTCATCTTGTATGACTATGCCTTGCTTATTCAACAATCACAATTTTATATTTCGTATCAAACAGTATTCAGTTTGGTAACTCATGACTGCTATACTCTACTTACTGTTCGACAGTCTAGAAAACATTGATTTGAATCTGTACGAAATAACTTCCTACAACCGGTTTTGTCAAAATCTGTTCCATTCACAATGTTTTCGTTATGAAGTGGGTTAATGAGTTCAGTCAATCATAGATTATTATCGCTTCCCGCAAACCATGGAAGTTTTGTGATAGTAAAACGAAACCACTAACATTCTCGAAGTTTATATTGATACGATTTTCATTGAATTCACTAAATATTGTCTGTGTAATGAGGCAGACTAACTGAATTTGCGAAATCTTTGATGAATGGTTTGTGATACGATAGCTGAGCGAAAGCCGGAACCGTTTGCTTTAATCAATGTAGAGATTACGAATACATACTGCTTCATAAGTGTAACCGTATTTGAAACAGGTATTTAAGTGTTAGTAGTTTCCATGACTCCTAAAACTGGTACCAGTTAATGATGAGATCAATCCACAAATAATTCGAAACAGCAAATTCCAACACCATCACGTTATCTCACTTCAGAACATATTTAGGAATCGGATTTAGCAAGTTAATAAGATATTGGGAATTCTGTTCCATTTACCCCATTCAATATAACAGAACACCAACTACTAACATTTCTGCTGCATCCTATAAAATTATCAAAGTAGAATTCATTATCTTTTCTTCTCAGTATTAATTATAGGAGTGTTTAATTACACAAACATATTTCTGTTGACCTCAATTGTTTACAGAAATATCAATGATTGTACTTTGTTGTCCTCTATCACCTCATTCTATCTCATTAATCATATAATATGGTATTCTATTGTATCTATACTCTATAGTCAGTGTATTATGAATCTTACTTAAACTAAAACATACCGCTTTCTAATAATAAGTTGTTGTTTATGTGCTGAAATCATCTACACACATTGACACGTGAGTGCAAAATAAAGATAAGTGAAATTCTCATTTTAGAAAACAATACTACTACCATTAAACAGAAAATGTAGTGAAACAAATCTTTTGACATACGATTCACAGAAGGTCTTGCTCCACTAATGAATAAATACTGTAACCATTTACCATCCAATTTCAAAGGAGGTTGGTGGTCGTTTTCTTATATAATCATCTACTTTTCACGTCCTTACTTTATTAGTCCATGTAACGCTCATTGATAAGTTCGATTCTTTGAGACTCGACAAGTTATAGCGTCCTGCGTATTTTGGTCTATGAGTGAGGCTGTGGTCAATCATTCTGATGATATAATCCACATCACGTTTTCTGTATGATCTTATATCAGTCACTGTGACGGATGAACTCATCTTCACCCGATATTCTGGATGAATACATTTCACCGTTCATTAAATGTATGTGTTCCATTGAATATTAATTAAGATTGGATGTCATGACTCAGTGATATCGATCAAAATTTACGTGAGGTTCGATATACTGTGACATGCTCTTTTTGATCCTGAAATTCGTCTTCATTTCTCAACAGAATTCAAATGGATTTTTTGTAAGGAAGCATTGGTTGTTGAATATGTAAATTGCATGTCAGGTATGCCCTGTCTCGACCTTTGCAATTTCATATTTTTAGATGATTTTATTAAGGAGATATTTTAATTGAGTGAGACTATAATCGCTGTTTGAATGCTGTTGGCAGAAAACCATGAAGTCAGGTTTTGTGGTAGTTGCTACAAGTCAGTAAAGTGTACTCTCGATCTTGATGAAACTATTACTGCTCGTGTGATCCAAACTCAGATCACTCAACTTTGCAGCATGAGAATCAACTGCCACGCTAATCGAAACACAACTGACATATTGTAGGACACAGATGTTTATATTTATTGATCGAAGCACAATTGTTGATGTCCTGTTCGTCTAGTGATTGAATACATATGGAATTCTGTCGATCGAGTGTTTTAGCTATACTACTACTTATTAGTAACTAGTCATTATTAATTTTATGATCAAAATGACCTGTTGGGACAATTTCATATAGGTAGTTTGTATTTGACAATATTCAGACGTTTCATGCAACTTTCCTTATTTATAAATTTTACTGAAGTAAGGGCAGCCAATGTAGCAGAACATCATGAATTCACCATATTTTGCGGTTTCTTTCCAGCTGCTTACGAATTTATAAAATGATTGTGAATAGGTCTCCATCTGTTTGACAGTGATCATTGTGTTGATGTCTTCAAGTCGTTCAAGATAATAATAGACAAAGAACGTGAGATCTACTGTGGTTTGAAACGGCAACTGGCATAAAATCACTCGAACCAATGTTGTGTATCCACAAATATATACTTGTCAATATTGCCTTGCAGTGGTCAACTCACTCATAAATGCTTGTCGTACAATTCTTCTTTCCGTGACACTAATTATTACACCATGAGAAGTGAATTCATCGTCACCAAAATTTCGGGGTAGATACACATTACTGTTTATCAAATATATGTTTCCATTGAATAGTGATTGATGTTGATGTTGATAATGTTGAATTACAGGAGAGACTGAAATCGACCATAGCAAAATAGTCTGACCTTGGTGATGAAACAAGTGGACATCAAAGTCAGAATATACAACAATAGATATGAAGACATCATAGAACGATATGGACTAGAAGGAAGAAACAAGAGTGAGGAGGGATTTCTAAATCTATGTACATTCAACAAACAGGTTATGGGCGGCCAAATATTTCTTAAACGCACATATATGAATCTCACTTCATAGCACTACAGGCAATCAAACAAATCGTATTTGTAACCCTAAATCATTCAGACGATCAGTGGAAGATATTCAAATCAAGAGAGGAGCTGACACTGCTTGAGATCACCACTTTGTAGTTGCCAAAACGAAAGTGCAGCTAAAGGAGTGCTGAAAAATTGATGACACAGCATGACAAAGGCTCAATACATGCATCATTCCAGATAGTTACAAACGCAACGAAATTAAAAAACGTGTCAAAAACAGGTCGCAAGACTTATAAGATATACTCAAATATGAATAAACTACGACGGAGAACAATTGGAAAGTGATAAAAATGTACTAATGAAAATGTGACAGGAGGTAATGGGACACATCACGAATTGGTACCCTATGAAATCCCGAGCAAGCATCGAGAAATGATGACCAAGTTTACAGCATTTGACACCAGCCGAACTAGAGCAGAAAATTTCATAGAACAAGCTGGATACGGTGAAAGAAAGTAGAAAGTGAGATTGAGCATTAGAGTTGAACAGCAGAAATATATGTAAGATCAAGTGGAGGAATCTGCAACAGAAGGAAATAGGAAATAGCTATACTACACGACAAAGAAACTTATGGAGAAATATTGTTAACCAGAGAGTTCAGTCAAGAACAAAAGAGGAAAGCCAATCACTGAACTTCAAGGATAGAGGAACAGATTGGTTGAACACATCGAGAATCTCTTGAGTAGTCCAGACCCATTGAATCCACGGTACATCGAAGAATCGCACACAGAATTTCCTGTAGATGTCACTCCACCAACGATCAAGGAAATAAGGTTGCTCATCAGACAAATCAGGAGTGGAAAAGCAGTATTACCTGACAATATACAAGCTGAAGCACTGAAGTCAGACAGTAAAGTGACTGCAAACATGCTTCACCTTCTATTCAAGAAGATTCAGAAAGAGGAACAAGTGCCGACGGACTGGAAAGAAGGACACGTTAACAAGATTCCAAAGAAAGATCTGAGCAAACTTGAGAATTACAGAGGTATCACACTACTATCAGTATCAATAAAGCTGTTCTACAGAGTGTTGATGAACCGAATGAATGTTTCATTAGCTGCTCAGCTATGAGATCAACAGGCTGCATTCCGTAAAGATCGATTGCGCACAGACCAAATCGTGACACTGAGGATCATCGTTGGACAATCACCTGGATGGAACTCGTCACTATACATCAACTTCTTTGGCTATTAGAAAGGATTTAATAGTGTGGATAGGAGATTCATGTGGCACCTTCTTCGACACCACTGTGAACTTGAAAAGATCGTCAACATCATCAGGAATTCATGCGATGGTTTCGTTTTACTATCACAAAACTTCCATGATTTGCGGGAAGCGATAATAAGCCACGATTGACTGAACTCATTAACCCACTTCATAACAAAAACATTTTGAATGAAAAACAGATTTTGACAAAATCGGTTGTCAGAAGTAATTTCGTACAGGTTCAAATCAAAATGTTCTCTAGACTGTCGAACACAGAGAACTGGGCTAAAAATCAGCTCGTTGTAGTTCAGAAGTAAACAATGTTTAACCTAAAAGCCATTGTTATACAAAATTGCAGCTTTCGTATAAGATAATTGTAGTTAAAGATGACCTGATAAACTGGTTGATCGACCAATTTTGTTGGTCTCCTCGATATGCATATGTGATGTCTAAATAAATCAATGACTTCTTTGTATTGATGACTGTTGTGATTTTGAATTCCAAATACAATACATTCGCTTGTGCTCATCTATTACTTCTTGATCAAATTGCGTTGTTACTGGGATTACTAGTTTATACTACAATTCAAATACTTCTGATTATCATAGTGTATTTGTATATAAGGATCTATTTATTATATTTAATCAATCCAAAAGAGCTGGCTTACTACTGTTAATTTCTATCAATCGTTAGTATTTAACTATAAGTGACATTCTGTCAACAGAACGTTTTGATATTTTATAAAATTGATTGGAATGCACTAAACTCAACTATGCCACAAATACAAAAGTTAGATATGGCTATTCATAGGAACTTGAAGAGTAATTGACAGTTGGAGAATACTAATGATTGGAGGAAATTGTGAATTATGCTATACACAGTGTCATTTGACAAGTAGTTGTATATAACATTCAGTTCTATTTGATTCTGTATGGATTCGATGTAGGTGCTTGTGTGTGGTGATTATAAATAATAAAATGTGGAATACTGACTAGTAATACATAAAAATAAGTGACATGCACTCTCGTGGTCCTGTATGTACTGCTACATAACCAAGGGTGGAAATGTAAACACATCTAGAGTGCAAATCTACGTTTCACAATAGGTCTTCCACATTCCTTGATGCCCAATGGTAAACATGTAAAGCATCGGTTAGTTTCTCGAAGCCAAACCAACGAACAAAGTAATAAGTACAAAATATACCATAGGTGTTCCATATGTCCAATGTACATCATCATTTTGAAGAATTTGCAGTAAATGTCCAAAGTATGTCCAACATTCTGAATATCAACACCCTTTAAATCAGCTTTACAGCAAACTTCGGAACAATAAAATAATGGAAGAAATCATAATCACTCTAGATAACACTAAGTCAACAATAGATTGTCACCCAGTATTTAATGGACAGTGAATAATCAAGTCCTGTTGGCAGGGAAGTACTTAATTATGAATTGGAAGGGTTTGACGACAGATTCGCTAAAACTAATGGTTGTCAGTAATCCCAAGTGATCTGTTTCATTTGTAAGACTTCAAGAAAATGGACATTCAAAACAAACTCACTAGTGATGACAATTATCACAAAATCTCGTATACATAACACTAATAAGACACTGTAAGACACTTGTAAAATAGATCAGTATTTATTGAATGAAAACAATTAGGCAAATGTGAAAAGTCACGTTCGATATTTTATTAACAGGAATACATTAGGTAATACGTAAACAAGCGTAGGAATGCACATAGTTGCACAAAGAAATCGTTCAACTTATTGAAATGAGTAATGCAATCGAGCGGTTTTCTAATGAAATACAAAATAGAAACATCTTGGCCACAATAATAATAAGAACAAGTCGTAAGATCTTTCTGAGAATTATAAATTTCTTTTCTTTTTCATATACAACCATCTCCAAATGACACAACCGATACATAAAGCAAAGAAGGAAACAACCAGCGGTATTACAATGTATAAATACTGGAGTGATTTGTTCTGTCCGTTCTCTTCGGTTATTCCGTCGGTCGTATGCTTAAGGAAAACAAAACAGTAGAATTTATTATAAAATATCAAATATTTACCATGTATTGATCAGTTACAATGCTGGTTTCCTTTAGGGTTTCTCTCACCTGAACTTTTGTGGTTGCCGACGTTGTTTGAATGTTTTTGATTGGTGTTTGTGTGCTCGAATCGTTAACATCCGGTCTCTTTTGGATAAACAAAACGGTAGCATTTGTCAGTTATCATTAAATACTGTTCGATTATTACATTAATCGTTGTACACCACTGTCAGTAACAATGAGAGTAGGGAATACAACTACTAGTTACACAATGTGCAGTTGTACAAACATTTAGAACATCCATTACCTATTTGACAATACAAGTCAGTTCTTATTCATAACTCTAAACCGTTCATCAGGTTAAGTCTTTTTACTCGGAATAAGGAATTCGGTGACATTGAAAAAGACGAAAAACCACTAACCTTAACACGGCAGTTATTTTCTTTCAAGTAATCAGTATCCTGATAATAAATATCAATGCATGTGTTATTTTTGTCACACCAAATACATGCTATATCCGATGGTCTTGCTTTTTCACATGATTCAGAGGTGTTGTATTTTGCACAAGATTCTGTGAAAAGAATCAAGCGATCTCATTTCAAGTTATCAAACAAAAATAAAGAGAATTATATAAAATATAGCTATAATTCGATGATATTGTAGATGGGTGTCGAGTCACGATAGACTATGATCACCACTACAATAATATTAGGCGCCAGATAACGACTTCGATTCCTCGCTTGGCCGAAAACTAGAAGACTGTTGTTGGATAGGATATATCTATTGACGATCTCGTGGTATCGAAAGAATACCGAGACATACCAAAGAGTACATTCAAAATGGCAGAGCGTAAGATAGTTCTCACGAGCAAGATGGACAACGGAACGTAAAGTGATTTTGGTACAGTTGAACTAAACGAGTGCAGTAAAACAATCACTGGTACAATTGGTTATAATAATCAATGTTTCCATTATACCAATCGCGTTCTCGTCGAGAAAAGTAGGTTACTACAATATGATAGTGATTTCGGAAATAAGTGACTATTACTTTTCGTGGAAAATTGTCATCACGATGCATCATGCAATATTGAGTACAATTTCAATTCAACTAACATTGCACCACAGAACGTTTCAGTTGAATGGAAACACTTTGAATGTCAAGTACGAACGATCAATTTTGACAGATGAAACTGGTGGATTTCAATGACCGTTTTCATTCAGGTATGTACACACGATACTCTCACAAGACATAGCAAAGCGGACTGCATTAGATTTTTACACCGTGAAATCAATTCTATCACTGGCTATGATAAATCATCATTCAGAGACGTGCTTGTTTAAACCATCCAATTAATCGGACACGTATGACAAAGAAGAGAATAAGGAAAATTAGTCATTCATCTTCAATAAACAATTATTGTTTCAGCAAACTCAACACGTCAGTTAAATTCAATATCACATGAATCGAAAGACAAAACAGACATTTTCTGGTCAATACACAGTCAACTAACGGACGCTCAATGTTTTCGAAGTACCTGTCATCTTATCTATCGCTTTGTGACTGTGTTAAAGTAGAATTCATCAAAGTGAAGACTTCATTTTTAGTTCGAAATGGCTGCTTGATCATTTTTATTATTCAGCAATGATGCAATGTGTATTCAATAAAGGTAACTGAAAAGTCATTTGAAATAGATGCCTAGATATTATTTGATAGCTGGACAAAATTGCCTGTAGAATGTTTAAATTGTTGGAAACAAAATGATGTATTTAAGTGTGAAAATGATTAGTGCAAAATAGATAATTTTTAACATACCCCCCATCGGTTCATACTCTACTAACGTTCCACTTTTGATCCATTTCAAAGGAACAAATATATTACTGTCTAATCCATTTTATATGAGAAAGTGAAGAGAAAAGGAGACTTGAAAAATATGATTTTTCTTTTAAGTATAACAATTTATTTGCACCATGTAAAGAGCAGTCAAAACAAGAAATTGAAACATTTATCATAACTTCATTTAGTATTGTTTGTTTGAGTCTTTCCATTGAAGTTTAGGATTGCAACTGGTCGGTCTCTTATTGGCATATGTGCAAACTGTGCGTATTGCCTCGATATAGCCTCCATTCACAAGCATTGCAAGCAGAGATGGATAGTGGCTAGCATTGGAATCCAGGACACGCGTTTCGACCTATTTGGGACTCGTCAGCTGGATGTACCTGCATCCAGGACAATATAAAATGAATTTCAACTTCACGTTATCGCACAAGCAAGTGGCTATCAAGACTCAGTGGCCGAGTGGATAACGCGATAGCGTTTGAAGCGAAAGGTACTGGTTACGAGTCCCAGAGTGGACATCAACAAGTCTGAGATGCAGGTACATCCGGCTGACGAGCCCCAGATAGGACGAAACGTGCGTCGTGGGTTCTACTGCTAGCCACTATCCATCTTTCCTTACAATTTCTCATAACTGGTACAGTGGTCACTATCCAACATTTCCACAAATTATGATTTACATCGCTCTGTGTTGCGTAAGTGATCAATGTTCAGCCAATATATATATATATATATTTATATATATATACATCTCACCGTTGATGTTCACTCAGTGACTAGAATCCCGAATAGTTGTTTTCAAACGTTGTCCCGTTATTCACCTAGTTACTCAAACCAGATACTGGCCTGCAAAATGGGTGACAATTTATTTCATTTTTGTATTGTTTGTTGAATCTTCCAAATAATATTAATGACTGCAATTGATTACACCGCTAGTCACCAACCATCTTTACCTACAATACCAGTGACTCAAGGAGACTTTGAAACAATCCTCACAGGATGCACATATATCAATAAGAGACATCAATTGCAGTCCAAAACACCAGTGTAACGATTCAAACAAACAATACTAAAATGAAAATTATCTTCACAGTTTATAGATTCAGTAATACATTTCAACTGATCAACATACACCACTTGACGGAACATTCAGTGCATTTTCTCACTTTCACTTATAAAACATTATATCCCACCTAATCACTTACACTCAATGCTTGTCTCCAAACTCAGTTTCATCTGTCAACAACACATGATACTCTCAGCGAATCATAACAATTGAACATTTTATATAGGAAATGTCAGTTCCAAGTACCATTACTTTCATTTGTTTCATACGAAACACATTTCCTTCTACATTGAGTGTTGATATAACTGAGGACCACAAGTGTAACTGTCGTACAGTGAGCGAATAGTTAAATGTGTAGATATATTGTCTTCCTAGTACCGTCATTCATATATCCCTGTCTCTATCAGTCAATAAGCATGACAAGCATGAACGAGAAACGTCTCCAAATATCCATTTACACACTACGATATAGATATTCATACACCTTAGTTATTTTACTGGAGATATCTGTTTGAGTGAGCCTGAGAATACTGATGGTTAATGGTGTACGTCATTGTATATCAAAATGTTAACAACTTTCGTTTAAATGTTTCTTACTTGTTTGGCACCAAAATATACCTCTCATTTTAAATTGCAGTTCATTTTTATGAATTTTTGTAGGAACCTAATAAAACATATTTGAAGTGCAAGTGAAGGTCTGTCAGCACACAAACTTCCATATAAAAACAATTAATCATTGAATTAATGTGTCATCATTCATATTATCTTATTCAAAGACACTCAAACACACTAACGCTAGATATACTGATACTCTCAATTACCTTAGGAGTAGGTACCACGTAGTCTACATATGTATTATGAACTACTAAAGTTGTCAAATTCAGTCAAATTCGATTAACTATCTATGTACCATGGAAATGAGACAACAAACTGTAAGATGAATATCCACATCAGTTGCATTGAAATGTGTTTGTGAATAACTACAATGATGCTATGCTCAGAACATATAATAGTGAACGTTCCGAACAGTCTATCTTCAGAAGACGAAATACAGCTTCACAGAATACGACTCTTTCTGCACAGTACTCTAACATATACATTTTGATACTATTTGGTAAGAAGATATCATGGTTCCTTCTGAAGGCACTTCACTTCTGACTATTCACTGTATTCAACAAGTGCTTGGATTAAGTGTACCATTAAAAGAATAATAATAGTGTCAAATAGTCTGTCAGCACATTATAAAATGATAACTTATTTCAACCGCATTCAATGTAACTCGATGCATTAGACAGTATTGATTAACATGAAGTAGGAGACTAAACTGAATTACTTGAAAAAGTTTATATATATTCATTCAATTGTGCAACTTACGTCCTCATAGTAGATTGATATTTTCCCACTCGGATATATCAGACAAAATATCGTCGCTGTAACCTCTACAATGAGAAGACTTTCGATACTTACCATTTAAAAGAGAAATATTGATCAAATCACTGTTAAATGTAACACTTTCTATGCCTACTCACAAAGTGACGCGATTTCAGTGGATATATAGATTTTATTCTGTCGAATTGATGATCAATACACTGAGGTGAATATAATGTGATTATAACGAGCATGCATCCTTCGAAATGAATCTCAAATGCCTAGTTTCTGTATTACCGTTTTATTATTGTTGAAACAATATATCACCAAGCTTTTCAATAACATTTGATAGTCGAAGAGGTGTTGTTATATAGGCAGTATTTATCCTAAAACCCCCGTGAAAAAATCGAATTTGAGTACATATGACATGAGCTGTGGAGTGTTTGTTTACGAATGGAACTTCGGAATTTAAATGGTTGCGGAATATATGGTTACTTCAATCGACCAGCTGGTTCTGACCAAATTGTTTATTTGTTGTAGATGAGAAACGAGTACCTTTGAATGTGTGGTCTTAATGATTTCTTAATTTAAACGGATAAAATTTTGGAATGACTATGCGATGAATGGATGTGTAGGTGAATTTATTGTGTACAGAAATGGCTTTTTGACGAATATACAACACAATTCACCTATTTTGAAACGCAGACTTCTCATGGAATTCGATTGAGGCCTGTAAACGAATATGAATCTCTGCACTCGTTTTCTCACAAGTGAATTTAGATTGTGACTTAATTCATCAATGATAACCAATTTATCATTCGTTAGATACAGTGTCTTCCAGTTTCTGTCAACTGTCCTTCAGGCCTTAATCGATGTAACCAAACGGTGATTGAATTACACATATAATTCTACTCTCGTTCTCCAGAAAAGTATCAAATAATTAATTTGTCAGTTTCTGAGAAGAATCAAATATCACGAACTATGCATAATCACAATCAGTCAAAATGTAAGCATTTTGACTCCACATGTACTCAAACGATCAATCGATGTTGACTTACGTTTACTATTATCATTCTTTTTAATAGACCATCTGGCAGCGAATAAATCCTCTGAAATAATGAAAATCGAAATTGATGTTTAAAGAAGTACCCAATAAATATCTGTCTGTTGAGATAAATGTACATGTTAGTACTAAACGCCTTTGCATACAAGACATCATCTTCATTCCCAATCATCTCTGATGAGGTTTCAAGGAATATTATCATTTCAACGACATAATGAACTGAGAAGAATATTTCACTCCCGTAAAATTTGTTCTTGTAGCTTTTGACTGAGTAAGAGACCTTCATTATCTATCCGACAATACCCATACAAAATTGTGATTCATCAATTCTGATAACTGACCAAAATGAATGTATGTCACCTTGATGTCTTAGGTGTTCTCCTTCATGTAAAACATCTAGTACTAGCTGACTGTTCATGCTACTTCATTGATTAGTTATTCAGGAAATGCTTGATTCGAAGTTCACAATCATACGAATATGATTACAGAGATAGAGTTGGAAAATCTATGATCAACAGACAACGACTCAGAGACACTAAATTTTCTGAGTCGAGTAAATGGAAGAAAAACGTTGAAGGACATCAGATATAATTTGATAGTTCATGGACTTCAATAATCCGAAGTGAATTCTCTCGAAATATCTCTTGTTGTTGTATATGTGATCAGTGTGATTCATTTAGTCTACCAAGATGTATTGTGACGGTGAGATATCTTCTGCTTTGAAGTTTTGATATACTGTAGAGCAGGTATTCTTTACTCTGGGAAATACATCACTTCGCTTATCATTTCCACTCAATTAATATGTGTTTATTTTGAGGTGAATCTCCGTTTTATCTAACACTTTTTCTCGCTACGTGTTGCAAACACATGTTCTCATGTGAAAATCAAACAAACAAAACAATCAATGTGTACTGGTCAACTCTTGTGTAATAATCAGGTGAAATACTGAATCGTTTATGTAAAATAAATGTGAGAATAAGAGACAAAATGAACCATAACTGGATAATATAAGAACTCACTTTCATTCAAAACCTGTACTTCAGAACCATCTTCGCCTGGTATATAAAGATCAATTTGTCCGATATGGTTTACTTTTTTTATATCTATTGCCCCTGTATTTATTCAATGAAAACATGTAACTTGATTGATAATGTTAGATTAACTAATCAAAAGATTTTGAAATTAAATAGAGGTTTAAATGAGTTACATAAACTGTATTTAGTTTGCTGTAATTTGTCATACCATTTTTTATATTGTTGAAATCATGAGTCGACTGGAGCTAGACCACCATGGAAAACCTGAAATCACTTGACGGCCGTTTTGTCCTATTGTGATATTCCTCAGCAGTTCGCACTCACAATCCCACCTCGCGATTTTCAAACACAGGGCCTACTAGTCTCGTGCGTGAGAGCTTAATCACTAGACCACTGATAAGGTTGGCATTCAACCGTGTTAATGTTTAATTTCAATCAATCCACGAAATTAAGCAACCATTGACTAATGTCTTCTGTGAGTTGATATCTCTCAACAATTTGAACAAGTAAAGTTATCCAAAGAAGTTTTGCATGTGACAAGGAGCATAAGAATGATTCATTGAAGCTAATTGAATTCACTTTGATTCATAAAATAAAATGTGATCAAGAAAATTCAGTTACGATTTCAAGGTCAACGGAAATTATTGACTTACCATAAGAGTAAACATTAAAATTATTAACCTGACTATCATAATATTTAAACTGAAAATTTGGTTTAACTTCCTATAAAGATGAGAATATGTAGGTTTATTACAAAATGTAATCAACTCACTTGAAGATAAGATGTTTTTTCGAAATTTCTATTCTGAACTGGATTAGGTTGATTAAGAGTTATTCTCATTGTGTAATTATAATGATGAGACTGATTATGTTTATTAGAATTTTGACTGATTACTTACATATAAGTATGAATCATTGACGTAAATCACTTTTTCATATTGTAGTAATTTAGGTTGTTGACAAAAGTCTTGGCACTGAAGGCATTTGTACAGTAAGACGACAACCAGATAAAATGATATTGAAATATCAGAATAGAAATTGTATCTAAAATGGTCCAAATAAAGAGAACAACATTATATCATTGAATCATATTTCAATTCGTAGGATACACTCATTCACTTCGTGTGTTCAGCTGATAGTCACCTCATCTTCTCGTTCAAAGTTGCAAGTCAAATTTTAATAGAATTTTTCATGTTTATATAGACATTTTAAGTGTTTGGTTGTTTCTTTCTTATTGGATGATTCAAAGTGACCAATAAAAGATCCCATTTGATAAAATCATGTTTATTGTTAACCAATCATGGTGATAGGCGAACTCATCTTTATTCACTGTTGGTTGAAATCTCTGACTCTGGTTGATGGAATTTCTCTTGAGTATGATTAACCATACTTTAAAATAAATGATTGGTTAACTTGTAGTTCCAATTGTCTGCTTATGTGTTCTCGAACAAACAGTTTGTTACCTGTAATAATCTGTTAATCGGGTGTCAATTGTACTTTGTTTTCATTTGATTGACTAAGATAAAAGTAGCACAAGCTGTTTTGATTGCACTTCAAAAGTCATACTTTAACATTTAAGACGATTTCATCTTCGTCTAATAGGAGATTGTAACTTCTGAACAAAGCCATACTCATTCTATTTGTCCACCATATTACACTATCGACCGTTAATAGATTTTTAGAACAAAATAGATAAAAACGTGTCCTATTGATCAGATAGAAATGAAAAAATTATTACATGAAGAGGTTATATGTTTCAAGGAGTGACGCGACAATAACAGTTATGCTTTTTCAATTATTGCAGATAAACTGCCATTCTTTATTGTTAGTCATCATTTTTTCTATGAAATCATAATAAATATGGTTGTCGAAGGACATCCAATGTCTTTTTTAAGCCAAACAGGTCTTATCTTATTACATATAAACCATGAATCGGTAACGTATATTGGCATATATGTTTCTAACTGAAAACGCTGTAGACATTCCTAATCTTCTCAAAATGACATCACATTCAATGCCACGTAAATTATCTACTCAACATATGTATGAGGTTTTCGATTCCTCTCACTCCTCTTCTTTGTTTATTAAATAAACTTACTGGAATATAATGTGCTGAGAAATCTGCATCTGAGAGTTCGTCTACAGCACTTCAGTATCTATCATTAGTTTTTGTGGCGGACCAAAATGTATGTTAACCAAAATAACAATAAAAGTATATTACGTCCAAAGGTTTATACAACAATAAACAGTTTATAAGTTATTAACACACAAATAAAAGTTGGGAACGTTACTTAGTTTGACTGGCAGTTGTATGTTCAGTTGATTTCGGTACCAGTAATCCGCAATTATAGAAGGTTAATAATTCCAATATGGATGATATGGCTCCAGTAGATTTACCAAGCGTAGTATGTAATAAGAATGTCACAATTGTCTATAAACGTAGATGATATTCAACTAGTAATTCATTTAACATATTTACAGACATAGCAAAACGATGCAGATGTGTGTTAGAGAGTATTTATTTCGGAGCAGGTACAATGTTGCGATATGTTGTACTCAAAAACGAAAGGAAGTCAATTAACGAGAGTTTAAAGTAATACACTTAAATAACAAGTACAATTGTTTAGTGCTAAATGTACAGAATATGAAAATGCACAAAATGGATGCAAAAACAATGAACAATTGTTCACAAAATAGGTTCAATGGTCCTATCTCCACAGTTTTATTAATGTTCAGACAACATCATCACCACGCCTTTTCAGGAAAAATGTGCTTGAACTGACAATCCTCTAACAACTATATTCATACACTTGCTTGATTGACACAGTCTATCTCTCAGTTGTCAAATGCAGTATGTGACAAACATAATCACTTTGAAATCATACAATCAATTTACGAACCATTAAATGTTGATCTTTTTCTATAACATGCTATTGAATTTCTTTAGTAGCAACTTCTCAAAACTGCTTCTAAAACTTGTTGATGGAAATTAGTTTTTGCATTCATTTCAAAATATCAACCAATTCACTATACTTTGGAAACTAAATAGGTTCACAATAGTGGCATTAGCAATTGTCGAATGTAAGAATGATCTATTCATTCAAAACTGTGATAACTGGAACTGGCTGTGATGGAATCGAACTCAAGATCAAAGGCAGATATAGTTGACCTAAGTTATTCTCTCTCATCATCTAAGGATGACGAAGCTTAGCAGTTATTTCACCATGAATTGTTCAATTTTATCTAACCAACCTAATGATGCAGTGGTCCCTTTTCGTTTTGATGAATTGTATGTATTCAGGAATGAGATCTGAAACGTTTTTAGTTCTCTGCGATGTATCTGACTAAATATTGAACAAAATCAAGAAATACCATTTTCTTTACAACCCGTAAATGTTTTTACATAGGCGTTATTAATTTTCTAATTCGTAAGTATGTTATATAAAGGCCTCATTAGCAAACATATTTCTGTTGACCTCATCTGTCTGTAGAAATATCAATGATTGTACATTCTTTGGTCGTCTTTCACTATCTTCTTTCTCATTAATAAAATATGGTATTACCTATTGTGTAGTAAGCCTTATATGGATCTCAGAATAAACAATGTCGCTTTCTAATCAATTATGTGTTCAGTTAACTGACAATCATCTATGCACACAGAATACCGATGAATGAGACATTCATTTTTTACAAAAGATTGTTACTTTTCTAAAACTAAAATGAAGTGAAAACAAATATTTCATCTTATGATTGACAGAGAGTCTTGCTTCAAGTAAGAATCAATATTGTAATTATATCGTTCTCTTGTAGAGTCATCATACGTTCCGAGTATATTGGTCTGTGTGACTGTGATGAATAGTCATGAAGACAGTCTCTTTATAGTTTACCATTAAATAAACTGAGAGAGCATTTGAAAAATCGGTTAACACATAGGCTACGGTGACATCGAACTACCATCAGGTTTCAGTTATCATACTACAGATATATTCCTCGTTCAAACTTTGTCTTTGAACAGCTGGTAACTGTTGGTTTGTGTCTTTTTCATGTATCATAAACGAATTACTTCACAATTGGTGAATATCAGAAATGTGTCAGATTCAGATCAACAAACTGAATTCAACTGACTCAATGGTTTACAGGTGCGCAATTGTTACGTTGAAGTTTCTCAACTTCTTCCAAAGTGGTTAACACAAACGATCTTGATTGATTGATTGATTGATTACCTCAATTGGCAGACTATTTCTTATTAATAGGTTTTACTGTAACAGAGTCAACGAACGGAAATATCATTCAGAAGTTGAATACGTTAAACTCACTAACACTGACCATTTGTTGATCAATAACTTACATTTTGACGATTATTCAAAAATATCGACTAATCAAAATTGTACTACCAGCATGTGAGGCTGACGAATTTATTCGTTTGATCGTTACTTTGGAACATCTTAGCGTCAGTACAGAATAAATGGAATATGGTCAGCCGGGGATAATCAAAGTTACTACAAGTAGATTGAAATCTTGTCACATTTCACTGAAATAATGTTTTAAATAACAAGGACATCTGTGTTGATTTCACGAACTTATGATTTCTCTGTACCTGGTTCCAATATTTCGAATGCTTTCAATCATTTCAATCATCACGTGATGATGGAGCCTGTGTTTGGACCGCTTGATATGCATTCAAGTTTTGAAGTTTTGATAAAATGTATGGAAAGGCTCGAAACATGAAGTGTGATTAAGTAACATGTTGGGATTGAAAAAATTGTGTCCCATTTCATCACATCGATCGTAAAGGATGTCTACAGCCTATAAAAACATTGACATTCCCGGGTAAGCTTATTTCATTTTCCTACGCTAAATAATTCCTGGTATATAATGTAAATTGTACTTGTGAAAATTGATGTCAAACATCGAAAGAATGAAAATGGGTTGGCAATATCTGGAAAGAAGTGTCTAGTCCAGACTTCCTTTGAGACAGCCGGTCGGAGCTCTTTTCATCACGAAGGGTAACAATGCTCAAGTAAATATATAAGTGAGTAACGACAATTACAAACATGGCATGATCATAAGACCGAAGCTCGGATGATCACAAGAGAGATTACAGGAAGTGAATTTCTAATTGTGAGCACCGACTCCTACACATCCACACGAGATTTTCACGTCATTGCCGATTTGTTAAATATGATGATGTAATGAATGGTTGAATGAAACGACTTCAGATTATCACGTCATCTTCCAAATTCTTCATATCATTTAGCATGCAAATACTAAGCTATCCTATTACGATTTTTATTTCTTCCATAATTATCGCCTGCTTTGTTCATCATCATGAATCATGTTATTTAGAATTTCGTGATATAAGATTTTCACACCGTTTTGTCTTTGTGAACTGTTGACTCCATCAGTTCTTTGTTGTGAGAGAAATGTAGTTGGATTCATGCAATTCTGCTGGTCTTGTTATTCTTGCTCCATTCAGACCCAAATGGTGATTTGAATTTCAGCTGGTTGACGTACTTCAAATAATTTTCTTTACATGTTGGCATTCAGTTTGCTTTTCCAATTACATACCGTTGTTTGTAATAGAATGTTGAGAGGTATTGTTTAGTTAGACAGAGTCGTCAAAATAGAAAGAGGTCGGATCACTGATTCTACAGAAACACAAAATATGTGAAGAAATTTATCCAGTGATTTGGCATTCATTGAGAAATTGTTGAAATAATGATATTTGATTCGGAGGGGTTTATTGCCAATTTCATAAATATGATGATGTAATGAGTGGTTGAATGAAACGACTTCCTTACACAGATTCATCAGTTCTTTACCCCACACAACTGATCAAACTTCATTTGGCATGAAGTTCGCCTGAAGCGAGTGATCATTCGATATTTACGAAGGATTCTATCACAATATGTAACAATCAAAAATCTAAAGAAATGGTATTTGTTCAAGATTTCTTCATTTGACTGATTTTGTATGAAAACACATGTATATACGTATTTACTGGAAATTTTCATTACTTTTATCTGTATTAACAATAAAAGTGAAGATGTGAACGGAAATCAACGGACATCAGCCTTCCGGTCCAAGGTTTATGTGTTTAAAACATAAATCATCCAGTTCAGATAATCGCTCAAAACATTCAAACCAA